ATTTCTTGTTCCATTTTTGTGTCTACGACAGTAGACTCATCCATTTTAACAATGAGGCCTGTTCCCTTGTCATCTTCTCTAAACAAGGCCAAAATCTTGAAAATCAAGTGTGTGCCTACGTAGAGGTTGCAAGAAGGTAGTGCATATCAAGAAAGGGTTGATTGGATCCTATTTTTGTGAAAAAGTATACTTTGTGTCTCATCAAAGGGTAAATGCTCTTTACTAAACTGAAAGGCTTGACATGTCTCTGAGTTAATCCCATTGTTTAGTTAAAAATCAGGAGGGTCTGGCCCAGCCCATGATCATGTAAAAATACATAACATATGCCATTGGCTCTGAGACAAAATGAACCGTGGTGCATTTTCACTTAGTCAGTGGCTGCGCTGATCACAGGAGCACTGAAGTGAAAAGACTCGGGCCTCTGCCCCTGCGACGAGAGTGTCACGCGGCGAGCGCTCGCAGCAAGCCGTCTGGCTTCTCCTGGACCTCCCGTATTCTGCCACTGACTGAGTGACGGCTGAGGTCTCACATTCAAAAAGCCAGTGAGCTGAGACTTCCAGTTGCTTATTATGTCTTCTGTGGCTTTGAACTTTGTTAGTATTATTAAATATTTTACCTCATTATTTTCTGTGGAGGACCAAGCATCCCTTTTGAAAAGGAGTTATGGTAATTTTGTAATAGTACTACTTTAGCAAGGTAAAGAACAGCTAACTCAAGTCTAAAGTTTAGAATAACTAATTATTTAGTTAGAGCTTCAAATATTACAATTAGGCTACCTATCATTTCAGCACATTTTCCACACTGGTCTGGACTCAGTCAGGATGAGATAGCTGTTTCTCAGACAACCCCTGATCATCCAGGCTAGAGTTTATAGTCCAAGGTGGAACCTCAAAGCCCTTTTTTGATAGGTCACACTACCTGAGTTTGAACTTGGCTGTACAGCCTACTTACTTGTAACCTTAGACACTTAAGCCCTTTGAGCTTCAGTTTCTCCTGTGTGGAATGAGTATAGTAACAGCACCCTTATAAAGCCATTGTGAGATGAAGCGACATGATTTATGGAAGACATTGAGATGAGCTTTAGTATCTGTTAGTACTCAGAATATTTTTACCATTTCATCTCTTTCAGAATAATCATCCCCTTGCTCTGTACTTTTATACCAATAATTGTCCGTATCACACAATGTGTCATTTAATTTCATGCCGCCATTCATTGTTTGTTATCATCGCCGTGGCAGATTTGGGCTTGAAGTGAATGATTGGCTTCCATAGTTTTTTGTTTTCTGGTTTGTTTGGTTTTTTTAAGAAGAATTAGAAAGAATTAAAAGTGATCTGTATATGTCCTAGACCTGTGTCCATTTGTTTGTTTGTTTATACGTGGAGAATTTATTTTCAAACCAAGTTGAGGACCATCATTTACTAACCTCTCTCCAGAGGAGTCAGGATGTCATTCTTTGGGTGAGGAAAATCCTACAGGGAAAGCCAGCGATCCCCAGAGATGGTCAGATCACAAGAAAGAGAAAGCAAGCTTTTCTTGTCCAAAAACTAAAGTGGCTAGTTTGTGACAAAATGCAAATACATTAAATTGTTGCAGTTTTATACTTTTTAAATTTTCTTATGCAGACATTTCATTCTCAATGAACCTCTAAGAACTGACTAGGAGTATAGCAGGACCTAAAATCATGACCAAAAAAGTAGAATAGTCATGTAGAATAGTTTATTTGTTTTGTTATATTGACTTGTCCCTACTTCACGTTCTCAAATGTATGAGAATGTGTCTTTCTTGTGAGCAAAACTTCATGTTTATAGCTACAGTCTTTTTCTCAGTGGTGCTCCATAGATACTTTTCAGTTGGTCTCCAAGTCCACTTTCTAATACTTTACATATTATTTAGGATCTAATGATCATCTCATTTTTTTTCACATGTATTCCTTATACTTCATAATTATGGCTCAAATTTACATAAGTTAAATTTTTAAAAATCATCCCTTATCTCAAGGCCTACAGATTTTTTTTTTCATGCTGCTGGGGTCTGTCTTTGACCTCTGTCATTCCTGTGTATAACTTTGGTCTCTTATGTGGAACTGCCCTAAAAATCCCCAGAATGTCCTCAGTAATATGAAAAATTTTGGCTATTTTCACAAGTGCATAAGGATATTTGACAGATATAAGCAATGTTTAAGGGTAGAATTTTGTAAGAATTATTAAATGCCAGATCTTCATTCTGAGAGAAATATTTTTCCAGATATCTTTTTATTAAAGGATTCTCACCTTGCCCAGGTATATAGACATGACTCTTTCCAGAGGTAGTAAGAAGAGATAAACTTAATGGCCTACGCAGAACTCTTTCAATTTTAAAATTATGCGATTTCTGAATTCTGAAGTGCTAAGAAGGAACAGGTACTGATGTTGCCATGCAAATGCAGAGCTAAAAATTTTACTACCTAATGTTCAAGGAAAAAAGGAATTATAAAAGAAAAATATACATCCTGTAGTCTGGAGCTATTACTCTGGGTCTATAAATTTGTAAACCATAAATTACCTTGCATCTTATTACTGCACACAGGAAAAGTGCAGTGGATTTCAATAGCTCACACCAAGTTATTTATAATCCATTATACTCATAAGTAATTTAATTCAGAGCATAATTTTAAAAAATAAATTATCCCTATCTGTTTGTAGTCATACTAATCCGGGGCATCGGCACCTAGATTTATCAACACTAGGAAATTTGGTACCTCTCTTTGTTTGGAACCACCAAGACTTAGGCAGCGATGAGGACAACGTGGAATTTGAGCATTACTACCTACACCTCCCTCTCAAAATGCAGATATTGAATAGAATCATAGCCTTATGGAATTGGACTCCATCCCTCAGCTGTAAGTCCACCTGGCTGATAAGGACCTGCTTGGAATGGCTGGGTCTCTAACTGGTCTTCTACCAGACTCCTCCTCCTTTTCTCCCCTCCAGTCTGGCTGGTTCTCTCACATGCCCTGTACCCGCACGTGGCTCTGTCTCCCTGCCACTGTCATTGCCACGGGACATT